GGGCTGAGGTAAGAAAATTTATGATTAAGGCATCTCTAGATTGCCGGAAATTACACCCTCGCACTTCAATTTGAATATATTTTTCTTTTTTTGTTTCCTTAAAAAATGAAGGGGGGGGGGGGCTTGAATCCACCACTGCTCAAAACATTCTTTATCCAGAATAGTCATAATCACGAAAAATGGACATGAAAAACCAGATCACATCCTAAAAACAAACAGCAATCACTAAGACATACATCAGGAGCCGACTCAATGGAGTTTAATGTCATACCCAGGGAAGGGCACAGATCTGTTTTAAAAGGTGGAGGGGGAGGGCATTTTGTGAGTCGACCCACCTCAGCCCCACAATGGTTGGAGCTGAGGTGAGAAAATTTGAGGAAATAGTACCTCTAGATGGCTTTTCTATCTTAAAAGACCTGGCCTGAGATTTATGGATTTAAGATTTTTTGAAATCACGCTTAGGCCTACCGGTACGGTATGTGTTCTATTATGCCTATGTATAACGTGTACTGATGAATATTTACATGTTTAGAAGTATTCATTTTGAGTGATCCCAGGAAAGAATTTGTATTGGCTCAAGAATAAGCTTTAAAATTTTAACACTGTGTACAAAGTGGGGGGGGGGGAGCCGCGGCTCCCACGGCTGCCCCCCTGGATACGTCCCTGTAACATTATAGTAATTGGAATTATAGACAGACTTTATATTGGTTAAAATGGTATCAAATTATTAACAGGCACATTTAGGTGCCCGGAAATAGCACTCTTAGAGAGTAAAAATGGTTTTTCAAAACAGTGTTTTCTAACAAAATGATTTGATGTCTTTCCCGACGGAAGACTCTTTTCCAAACGGAGATGGGGAGGAGTCCTGTGCCCTCCATGGTGCCACCACTGTGTTGCCACCGAAGCCTGTGGGATTTATATCATCATGTTATATCATCTTTTTCGGAACTGAATAACATATATCAAGGTACAGTATAGCAAACCAAGCTTTGAACTATAGCTTGTATTCGGCAATTACCTTCTAGCCTACTATGATAATTAATCGCTTACCCTCTGGTATGTTAGACATCGTGAATAGATTCAACAAAATAGAACAATTATTCATAACCACTAAAAGATTGGCCTAATTATAGATGAAAATACAAAAAAAATTATAGGCCTACAAAATTTATGACTGGGCCTAGACCAGTATTTCTTCTAGACAACTCATGGATAAATGTGGTGGTGAACGTTATACATTTGCTCAGTCCATTCTTAACTATAATAGTCCAGGGATGTCGTTATGCAGGGCGGAGGTGGGCGGGGCCGCCCAGCCTTGACGTCTTGCGCCCATCCTAAAACATTTTTTAAGGTCTTCCGCCCAGCCTTATACAAACCCTGTCTCTTATACACATCTAGATGTCAAATACAAGTTTTTTCCCCAATTAATAATTATTAATAACGCGACAATGGATTCTCGCACCAGTCAGAATGTTGTTCGCCAGGCGCTTGCTTCGCTGTACCTTAAAAACACAGTCACGTGATTCGTCGCTTGGCATGAGAGCCACGTAGTTTGTTTGAAAACACGTGTAGCCGAAAATGTCCCGACTTGTCATACTACTATGCCTAGACTATTGTTTTTATCATAACTGGTTCCGTCTTTACTATTATATGAAGTACTTTACTGTAAATAATAAAGTTTGCAAGCCCAGGCACACCTCTAGCACGAGTAATCATTGCAGATTGTATTGTACAGTGAACCATTTTTAACGCGGTGTATGGACAGTTTTTACGTATTTCAGGGTAAAGTTCATGACCGCCAAGTACGTAAAAATGGGAACGGAACGGCAGCTAAATATTGGCATCTATCACAAGCACACACTGACATGGCCAAAAACCGTGAAACACCCATTGGGTACCCCTCATAGGTGAAATTCGACACGATTTTTCCAGTGGTGGGGGTAAGCTAGAAATTAAGCAGCTTTCGATATGGACGACGCGGCGTTCTACGACGGGCAGTGGAGCATGAAACCGTAATGCGCATGCGAATACATGGGAAGTCGTTCGTTGTGTGGATTTGACAACGGGCTTTGAGCGATTTGGCGTTGTGTTGACTACGGTAACGTGAGTTTTATAAATACGCGCTCGCTGTGGCGCCTGCATAATTTAATCACGCGATACGAGGGAGCACGTCGTCCTGTAAATCGAAACAACTAAGAGCCTGCTTCTCACGAGAGTCCTAGTATCCGGATCGGGAGCTAACCATTGGCGCTAACCGTTAGCACCTGCGTGAGAACGCCCGATCGGTTAGTGCTAACCGTTAGCAGTATCCGGATACAGCTAACGGTTAGCAAGCGCTAATGGTTAGCAAGTTGAGCGTGTTTTTATCATCAACCAATCACATGCACGCGTTTACAATTTCCAGTTTCTTATTGGCCAGTGATTTGATCATCAAATTTTTGGTATCCGGATTGGGATTTTCTCGGATGGACGCACGGCAGCTAACGGTTAGCAGGATCCGATCCTGCTAACCGCCATGTGAGAACATAGCCTTGATGTTGAGACGGGAAGTGCATAGTACGACGTTCATGGTTCACTGAATTCCCCGTCGCAGCTCCCCGCTTCGCCCATTTCGAAAGCTCGCTATTATCTCTCATGCAACGTACTTTTGACATAGCCAGGCTAGTTTAAAAAATTGATGTCAAGACCGTTTTCCACGAATGTCGTTTTAGAACAGCATGCTCAGTCTTACGACGTTGAGGAAACAGGCATGTTATTGTTTTGATTAACTTGCTGCAATGATTTCAAGATCTCTAATCAATTTACCGTGTGTAATACATTGCGGTAAGTTTATAATTACTAAGTCTCTCTAGCCTGAATAGCGCTAACCGTACGTAGCGCTGGTAAGCCTACTGGTGGAATAACAGTTTAAAGTGTTAGCCGGATTAATTTTCTCCGACTAAATAGCCTGGTTCTCACGAGAGCCCTAGTATCCGGATCGGGAGCTAACCGTTAGCACCTATGTGAGAACGCCCGATCGGTTAGCAAGTTGAGCGCGCTTCTATCATCAACCAATCACACGTACGCGTTTACAATTTCCAGTTTCTTATAAAACTAGACCGGCCTTCTATCATCTGTCATCAAACTAGACCGGCTTTCTATCATCAATCATCAGACTAGACCGGCCTTCTATCATCATTGTGTAGGCCTACATATCCCCAGAAAAGCAACCCGACTTTTGGGGCAAAACACGATTGTTCGTTTATCATTGGGGATTAATTCAGCAGGACACGCTATTAAGCGGACCACCCGTAGTGGAATAAACAGCAAAGGTCACTCAAACATCGCGCACTCTGTTCTCTGATTTGCGCATGCCTAAGTAGACATTGCAATTGTGATAGAATACACTTTCGAAAGAAATAAATTAAAATAAGAAAATAAAATTAAATAAAAATATTTCAGTTGCAGACTTACCTTGTCTATCTAGGCCTTAAGTATTATACAATGCCTGTCTCTTATACACATCTAGATGTGTATAAGAGACAGACACTACTGTTTCCCTATTGATTGTCCCAGAGGACTGCGGAATGCAGGGACAGCTTGATAGAATTGACGTGTAAAAGCAGGGCGTAGTTGTACGAGCGATGTTTGTTTATGTTTATGTTATGTTTACGATATAGGCACTGTAACCATGGATCTTAGTATTCTTATTCATTTCGCTTTCAGTGAAGCAAAACTCGTGAGCAAGTCGATGTTAATTTGCATTCAGGCTGTAATTCACGACTGAAAATGGAGTAGTCCCTAGCTTACTATCGGGAGATCGTTACCGTCGCCCACCACCAGTCGTAGATATTTTGAACTATATTACTTGCATGAATGACCCTCTTATCCTATAGAGAATAGTAGTTATGTCGCATAGGCTAGTATTCGTCCTTGACTTAAAAAAAATTAGGTACGTACATATTTTTATAAGCAATCAAAACTAAGTAAATTGTTAAGTTACATTACCCACGTCGAACATTTTGGCTCTCTATACAGCAAGAATCCCAGTGCTTCGGGGGCTTTTCCCCCTCTGAAATCCATCCCCCCTCCAGTTCGCTGCCACAAAGTGATGAATTATGAGAGGGACAGCTAATCACATTGAAAAGTTCAAAGTTGTTGAAACTGTTGATTAGGCCATGCAAAAAATAATGTTTATGGATGGTTGTTTTGTTTTATTTTGTTTTTTTTAATCTGTAGTGAAACCACCCCCTTGATATATGCCACGTCTCCCATGGAAGACAAGTCCTCATTTAAATTTCAACGGATCTTCCAGTGTAGACAGGTAGACCGTCACTTGATACACTCTAACAACTCCCTGTGCACGCACAAACAACAACAACTTATTTTTTACATGGCCTTACAGTGAGTTAAACCACAGAAATCTAAATACGTAAGTGCGTAAACAATGCACCGACAAGACAGCTAACGATCCAGTCTATAACGACAGTAAAGTAATCATTTTCCCCTGAATTATAAGCTGAAATATGGAATTATATTCACTTGGTGAGATGGAGACTACGATGTTCTTTGGTGTTACAGTTTTTCAGACCGGTAGGTTTCAAATCCCCGACGTTATCTACCGTACTGGATCATTGTGATTGTATGTTTTGAATTAAGCATAATTATAATATATAACTCGTTTTTTTGTTCCGGTATCAGGATAACATTTTGGTAAATGAAAAAAAATAATAAAAAACCAAACATACTGAGGAAAAACCAGTCATTAAACCCGAAGACATTACTTCTGATTCTGGATACGTCAATTCAACAGCATGCTCATAACAAACAATAAATACCGATGCCACACAAAACCTTCAAAAGTAAACAGAATATATTTTATTTAATAAAGATAGCTGAATAATGGCAAGTAATATAAATATAACATATAACGTGCAGTGATTAAAAGAATAATACTGTACAGTGGTAACAATTACCTCTGTTCCAAAATTGGTTTTGGAAATTTGCCGGCAGTGGAAACAAACCTCCAGCAGTGGTCCCAACCAGGGGCTGCATGGTTAGAATCTCAACACACCCAGTTCATATTTCCTTATGTACCATTCACTTCAATAGAGGGATTTGGCGAGGTTTGTTTACAGCCGGTCACGTGCCTTAACTTGGGTATACATGAAAAACATAACAATGCGATAATACAGGAAAAGATAATGTTATGGTTGCGAAAACAACCACCCACTGTTAAGGTGAGAAATAAATGGCTAGGAAAGGCAATACGATTGTTCAAAATAGTGTTTATTTACTTATCCTAGCGTTCTCCAAGGATTGTATGCTTTGAAATTTAAGTGATCCTTAATTCATAAACCTTGCTACGAGAGCCGCTTAGCTCAGTTGGCTAATCTGGTGGTCGCCACTGTGCGTGCGCTGAACCGTGGAGATCTCTAGGTCCCCGGTTCAATGTTTCAGCTGGATGGCTGAAATACTAGCGTACCGTCTTTCGGATTAGACGTTTAAGCCGTTGGTCCCGTATGCATTTATGGCCCATGTGCACATTAAAGAACGCAGTACACTCTTTGGGAAAGTGTAGGGGATTGTCCTAACCACCACCAGAAAGAAGGACCCCACTGGAAATAAGTCTTCTTCTAGACTTTCGTGGACTATCCTTGGTGATTACACCGGATAAATCCAATCCATTCCAATCCAGCCCTAACACCGCCGCAGCGTAATTCGCGGGTCGAAGACCATTATGCATAAATAACCATGCCGTACATGTGCAGGGGCCTTGGCCTAACATTTTGTCGAAACAATCTCAATGTTTGCGGACAGTATCCTTTACAGCATTAGCAAACCATTAGGGCAAAATTTCCAATCAATTTGGTATTTTACTATAACTAGGAATTATGATAATCTTTACAGCAATAAACAAGGGACCACCGTAATAGCAATCTACATGTAAAACACCGCTGTGTCAGTCGATTGTTTTTGTCCAACACCCAAGTTAGGTCACGTGACGCCCATCGCCGAATATGGTTAGACCAGTGCACACACCTATTAAATCATACCATAGAGAAACGCTTTGTTGAGAATTCCTCCGTATCGGATAACACGATTAAAAAAAAACTTACCAATATGTACTGGCTGACAGAGTTGTAAAGAACATATTGGCGTAGTTTAACGATATTGCAAAACTAAATATTGCGACGGCTACTGATACAAAAAATATTAAAGTTGATTTTCTGCAAAAAAAAAAATACAAAAACAAAAACAAATTTCACGTAAATGCTCTTGTTATCATCAGACTAGACCGGCCTTCTATCATCTATCCTCAGACTAGACCGGCCTTCTATCATCTATCATAAAACTAGACCGGCCTTCTATCATCTGTCATCAAACTAGACCGGCTTTCTATCATCAATCATCAGACTAGACCGGCCTTCTATCATCATTGTGTAGGCCTACATATCCCCAGAAAAGCAACCCGACTTTTGGGGCAAAACACGATTGTTCGTTTATCATTGGGGATTAATTCAGCAGGACACGCTATTAAGCGGACCACCCGTAGTGGAATAAACAGCAAAGGTCACTCAAACATCGCGCACTCTGTTCTCTGATTTGCGCATGCCTAAGTAGACATTGCAATTGTGATAGAATACACTTTCGAAAGAAATAAATTAAAATAAGAAAATAAAATTAAATAAAAATATTTCAGTTGCAGACTTACCTTGTCTATCTAGGCCTTAAGTATTATACAATGCTAACGATGCGGCTCTTGAGCCATAGCCTTCTTTGCCCTAACTAGGTAGGCAAGGCATCCATGTGCAAAGCAGTGGTGTTTATCCATGAAAAAAGCACGCCGGGAAGCGATTTTTTTTTTTCCGTAGGGAAAGTTTGCCTTACCAGGAAAAGGTGACGGAATCTTAAGACGTATGCATGTTAACTATATTGTAAGTGTGAAGTCACCAAAAAATAAAAATTTTCTATATAACAAAAATATTAATAACTACAAGGTTTGTGGGCGTAAATTCCATAATACGAATTAAGGGTAGCACCTCTACCTTGCAAATTACAGCTCCCATTGACTTCTCAGTCGAGAAATACGGGTAGCTTTTTTTCGCAAATCTGACTACAAAACCAAATCCAAATTTCACCTTTATTCCACTTCTGACTTGAGTTGTGCTTCGCACACGCCGCTGAGGGCGGCGTTCCGGGAACCCTGCTTCAAGAAACTTTATCATTTCATTTAAAATTACTTGTACAAGTTCATCTCCCAACAGGTTGCACTCACATTACACAAAACATTACCGACAAAATCAAAGTCCTTTAAAATGAGTTCTTAAATTGATTCTTCAAGTTTCCCGCCTAACTCCATCTGATTCTCTCTACAGTCACATTCAAAGCGCTAGCGCCTTGCATTTTAACTACCTTTTTTCTAAACTTCTCTCACCAACGATCTATCACAACCCAGAACTTTCTACGTATGCCTAAACCTAAACTTGAATCATAATATATCTTCCTTTACTACCTACCTGGCTCCAAAAATGTTTAAATGTATACAATATTTAATCACCACTTCTGTTACATTCTCCGGCTATATATTCCATTTCAAACATTTCATTTTAAACAATGTCCCAAAATTTCCTAATTCACATAATTTCCATAACATAGCAGTAACCAAATTTTACTTGTATTTTTGTTTTTGTTCTATTTTTTTACGACATTATTTTTCGATTTTGGTGTTTGTATTCGGTTAAATAAATGGGCCTCTGTATATCAGCACTGCTGCAAGAGTCGCCCTATATAAATATGGTTCAAATAAAAAAATAACATAAAAATGAATTAACATATAAATAAAATCAAAATGTGTATGTGTTCGAAAATAGACATGTCTGAGTGTATTTAGTAGGATTATCTGGGATGTGCTACATTATACCTGAATGCCTTTGATCTGTCGAGCCACATTCCTGCAATGAGTGGCGAGATTGTTCCGGCAACCATCTTTGCTATACCAATATAACCAAGTACGATCGCACTGTCCTAAACATGAGATAAATACATATACAAAAAAAACCATAGTATGAGTAGGGTGTATTTGGGGGGGCCCGGCCGGCCATTTACCATAATCATTTTTAACAACTTCAATTTTTTCCGGCCATACCGATTACTAAAATCATTTTACCAATACAAGAGTATTCCCCCGGCCATACCGATTACTAAAATCATTTTACCAATACAAGAGTATTCCCCGGCCATACCGACCATTTACCATAAACACGTTATATTTTCATTGCGGATTTTTTGGGCTCAGTACGGACTCCAAAAGTATGCATTTTCTTTTAGTTTTATAGCGTATGCGGATTTTATAAGTCCGCAATGACGATATAACGTGTTCATAATCATTTTACCAATACAAGAGTATTCCCCCGGCCATACCGATTACTAAAATCATTTTACCAATACAAGAGTATTCCCCGGCCATAGGCATTTTAAAAATTAATATTCCCGACCATGACACATTTTAATAATTACCAACTTTTTTTTTTGCAAACGACCTATCGATGACCTCATTTGACCTCACGTGACCTCATTTGACCTCACGTGACCCCGATGACCTCATTTGACCTCACGTGACCCCGATGACCTCATTTGACCTCACGTGACCCCGATGACCTCATTTGACCCCCGATGACGTCATCTACCCGATGACGTCATCGATACGAAAAAAGCCACTTTCGCATCTAATCTCGTCTCCTTCTTGCAGCCTCTAGAGCCAATCTTGTTTTTAGCGAGTCGAATGCATTTTTCCCCATTGCTCTATCTTGTAATGCCCGTACGCGTAGGTAGTTTTACCGTCGTCGAGTATATACCGTTTAGTGTCTAATGGAGATAGCGACTTTTTAGTCTGCTTGATCGTGTAAAGCATATGCTTGCTGCTTCGAATCGAGTTTATGTCGCAATGCATATCCTTTTTACTCGTCAACACTCGCACGTAATCGTCGTGATGTATATGGTCCCTTACGACGTATTTGGCGACCCCCTTTGCCCGCCTGACATCCAGCCTCGAGTCTTGCGTCTTGATTGAATACATTTTTGGTCTGAGTCCTACAAATTCCATCATGATGCATCCACCCAATTCTTCCTTCATCTTACCGAGAACCTTTTTATTTTTCTCGCTATACAACAGACTGTCCTTGCCAAAGTTGCTCGTGTCAAACCAATCTAAATTCTCCTTGAGGTCGGTGTAAACATCCTCGGTGGTGATTGACAGCAACAAGCTATCAGTGTCTGTGTACAAGAGCTTGACACGATCGTCGTACATGGGTTTGAGCTTGTTGTAGTAAAACTCGTACATTAAAAGCTTACTCAGATCCAAGACGGCCGTACCGCAATAGATGGGTTTATTGAGCTTGACCCGTGTCTTGTTCATGTGAATGGCAACGAGATCATCGTTAAAAGTGACGAACCTGTTAAAGTTTGGTTTCGAGTAGAGCTTGTTTATTTTACGATCTTGTTTAGTTTTACATAAATGAACGGTTTGCCTGTTGCGTACATTTTCCATAGTCTTACCGAAAACGGAATTGTTCATTAGCTTGAAAAAGTCCTTTTCAAAGTCGGTTTTTGCCCCTTTTCTAAGCTCGGTATTCATGTCGATATAGCCCTTCATCCACCGTCTTTGCGTAAACTCGATGATGCGATGAACCTTGGTCAGCTTGAGCCCCTTTTCCAGATAAAACTGCAAGTTTCTATAGTGCACGACATATTTAGTCTTGGGCATGAGGTTTGGTACGAGTTTCTCTACCCCCGGATTTTCGTCGCCCAACAGGTCGAGCTGATAGGGACTCATCCAATCGCGACGAGGCGCGAGCGTCTCGGGTGCCAGGGGGTAATCGTTAAACAGATCGTGCAATTCTTCCGGCACCTCCAGGTCCACCTCGAGAATGTACCCCTTTTTGCTATCGACCTTTGTCTTGATGACCGTTTTATACTCGTCCGGATCGATCCACCTAAAATCCGATACGGGTAACGGCTGACTCATGGCCCACCCGTACAGATTGTTGGCATCGAGATCTAGCCCGTACGTGCTTGGTTTCGTCTCGTCATAGTCGTCCATGTACTTGTTGTTAAACTTGCAGCGTCGATGGGAAACCATACTGATACCACCTCTGATTCCCTTTTCGAACATCATGTGCATGTCCAAGTCTGTTATCAGCTCGAGCTCTACCCCAGTCTTGCTGAGCAGCGCGTCCCAACTAAAACCCGGCAGCGTAAAATAGTTGCACGGATCCAATCCGTATTCTTTAAAAGCTGTAGCTCTAAAGTTTTGAAACACGTCAGCCAGCAGCAAAACGTCCGTTTTCAGGTAAAGGTCGTGATAATCGCCTAGGTTTTTACATTTAAAGTGCTCGTAAACCCTCGTGGCATGCTCATAGTCCTCGTCGTTTATACCCTCGTTGCGCAGGCTGCTGTAAAATAGTTCCTTCTCGGGTAAACCCACTTTTTCAAACTTGCTAAACGAATCCATGTATTCGTACGGATATACACCCTTTCTCGTGACTAGCTCCAAGTCATACTCGTCGTCGTAAAATGTCTTGGTAAGCTTAAACTCGTCGATCGGTAACTTGGCAACTAGTTGTGCTAATGAGGTGTTTAGAAATTTCATCGAATCGATAAATCGGAGGTTATCCAAGCTAAGGGAAATGTACTTTTCCGTATTGCTCGGAATGCAATCTATCGTTCCCTGCATCTCTCCGAGGGCCTGCATGATCAAGTGGGCGTCGTACCCAGCCAGATTGTGAAATATTACGGGTATGGGTGTATGCTCATCTACCTTCAACTTGAGATTGCAACCCGCGTGAGCCGCTCCACGATACGTGTTGGTAACGTGGCAATGATCTCGCACCTTTTGCCCATTCTTTTTTGTCATACACTCAAAACACGTCTTGAATTTATTGTCGGGGTTTGCCTTGACCTTGACGCATTTCCGACAGTCACCGACCCCGCTATATTCCGTAAAACCACCTAGATTACAAATCCAACAGGTCGTTGCGGCCTCAAAGTCTGCTTCATCCTCTGACGTCATTACGCTGCGGGGTTTGACGGGTTGTTGCTTGAAAATGTCGACAATTTTCTCCTTTTCAATCACGAGTTTATCCAAAAAGGATTTTACGCACATGGTTGCATTTTCGGCATTAGCACTATGTATTTCGTGTCCGACTACTTGGCCGTCGTACCTTACCACCACGTACGACCAACCGCACGGCACGTGTTTGTTATTTTTAAACGTTTTCGAGTCTGTCTCGTCGGCGTTTGTCGGCATTTTTTCCAAAATACACTCGAAATCTGCATAGATTACAAACGGCGTCTTGGCTCTATGTTTAACGTTTTTAAATTTCAACGTCTTGTTTTTTTCATCGACGACTTGCACCGCCGTTATACCGTCGTTTACACCCTTGCAATCAGGCTCGTGTTTCAACAAACATTCTTCCATACTAAAAACGTGCATACATCGCGAACATAAATGCTTTTTCCCCTTGTGTTTATTATAACCGCTGAGAAGCGGGCTCATCTTTTTAATCCACATGTAATGATTATCGTACAGCAAGAGATTAATCAGCGTACGACCCTTGTGCTCGCCGTCGACGTAGACCGGATGTAGATACCCCTTACCCTCTTCTTCCCAGCCATAAACGTTAATCTTGAGCCGCGGATTATTCTTTTCAATGATTTTAATCTGTTTGGTCGGCGTGGGAAACGTGATACCGCTCCAGTCGAGCTCGTCCAGATGCGGCGCGTATCTCGAGGGTCTATCGGTATGGTCCTTGACGGGGTGAAGCGCGCTGGTAATGGCGTATTTGATGCACAAGTCGTCTTTGTTTTTAACGTTGACGATTGCCTTTTTATTTTTCAGCACGTTGGGTAATGGTACGTACGTACCACCGCGCAAGGGGTTATACCTAACAATCTCTATATCGAGATGCTCGAGATGATTTATATGCCATCCCGATCCGTTTTCACCCCATCGCTCAACCATCGCGACTATACGATCTACATCCCCTTCCAAATCTAATTCATCGTAAACTCTATATCTACCCGAGTGAAAGGTGGGTATGGCCGTTTCACCGTTTCGCTCCATATTTACGCCTAAAACGAGTCGATATCTGATACCCTCGAAACGATGATTGTGTAATATTTCCTCGATACGATCCCTAAATTGTAAGATTACGCGTGGATCGACAAAACGTGTTAGGTTTATCCGATGTATTTCGTGCGTCTCACTCGCACGAATACGATCAAATCTAGATTGGTGGTTTAAAGGTTCCAATTCACGTTCTGCCCTTTCTTGCATTTCCCCACCTGGATTTAAAACTTGTTGTTGTTGTTGTTGTTGTTGTTGTTGTTGTTGTCGTCCACGTTTTCGCTGCTTACCTTTACCACGTTTCCCACGTTTCCCACCTTTACCACGTTTCCCCTGCTTACCTTTACCACCTTTACCACCTTTACCACCTTTACCACCTTTACCACCTTTACCACCTTTACCACGTTTTCGCTGCTTGCGCCCCCCACGTTCCTCGCGTCCCCGTTCCTCGCGTCCCTCGCGTTCCTGCTGCTCGCGTCCCTCGCGTTCCTCGCGTTCCTGTTCCTCGCGTTCCTGCCGCTCGCGTTCCTGTTCCTCGCGTTCCCGCTGTTTGCGATTATCACGTTTTCGCTGGTTGCGTTTCCTACGTTTCTCACGTTCCTCGCGTTCCTGCTGCTCACGTTCCTCGCGTTCCTGCTGCTCACGTTCCTCGCGTTCCTGCCGCTCACGTTCCTCGCGTTCCTGCCGCTCACGTTCCTCGCGTTCCTGCTGCTCACGTTCCTCGCGTTCCTGCCGCTCGCGTTCCTCGCGTTCCTGCTGCTTGCGTATTTCACCTTTACCACCTTTACCACCTTTACCACGTTTCCCCTGCTTACCTTTACCACGTTTCCCACGTTTCCCCTGCTTACCTTTACCACCTTTACCACGTTTTCGCTGCTGGCGTTTACCACGTTCTCGATTGTTGTATAGACTCATTTTATTAAATAGCTCATTCCCTTAAGTCGGAATCAAAATTACAAATACGCCGATAGAGGGCGCACGTCAGTTTTAAAGATTACGAAATACGATTGTATTTAGCAATTTCACTGAATCGTAACCACTTTACGAGGACGCCCCGGCCGACGTTTGGGTGTACACTTTTTACACGCACCGTTAATTGTAACCTTGCATCCTATACCGCATACGTTACACGGAACTATCTTGCTATTGTGTATTATCCTATACTTGTGATAGGCGCAATACCCCTTTAGATGATCGGGTAGCGAGTCTTGATCTCGATGGATAATCTTGAGGCATAAATCGGTCGAACCCATCTTGAGATAACGACAACCGTTTACATCATCACCCTCGACGCGTCGACTAGGCGATCGACGTTTTAAGAGTATCGCGTTGCTTACAACTTGTCCACCGCATCTATAGCAAATATTGTGTAGTATAGTCCTACAGCCCCTACCACATTTTTCGCACGAAACTGTACCCCCACCTCGCATGATTCTAAACTTGTGACCGCGACAATATCCGCGTAGTTGCTCGGGTAGCGAGTCTTGATGCTTCAATATTGCTTTTCCACACAATTCGATCGAACCCATCCTGAGATAACGACAAGAATTTTGCATCATTTTTATTACAACGTGTTTTTCCCTTAACCATTTTTCATTTAGGCGGTAATTGCGTGTCAAAGGGAACGACCAACAATTCTTCTCGTACAAAACTCCTCGGTACGCCTTGTAAAAAATACAAGGCGGGTTGTTTGGGCTTGATCATGACGTTTCGCACGTCGTACGTATCGATACTCCATATCGGATCGGTAGCTCTGCGTCTTTCACCCCCTTCCAATTCTCCGGGTCTGTACAGGTATCGTACGCGCAAACTCGAATCCAAGACGGGCTCATCCAATCCAACGGGTCGATTATACTTGGGTTCGTATTTAATTTCGTCTCGCCTACGTACGGCCTCGTCGGGACCTTGTGCGTTCAACTCGTTCAAAACGGGTCTTGAATTTTCTACCCATTCCGCGTTGCGTCTTGTCGGATCCACCATTTCTCGCGCATACTGATGCGGAAACAGTTTGGTGGCAAGAGTCTTGTTGAACCTTTCGACGATTCCTTGCGATTTGTGATTACCGGGTATAGTAGAGTCAAAATACGAAGAAAATGCACTTACCCCAAAAAAATTGCAAGAAAAGGTTTTATGATGGTTTTATGTACAATAACATTTGGGGAATAACATATCAAAAGTTGGCAAAAATCGGACCACCGGAAAGGTTCAAAATATGAGGTAAAACAAAGATGGCCGCCAAATGTGTAAAAATGAGTAAAATCTACTCATAAATGTGGAATTCAACAATAATCTACCATTTTGAATGTAAATATTACTAAAAATATTGCATATTTTGCTAAGTGCATATGTCTTGAAGGTGTCTGAAGCGTTTTAAGTGACATCATAACATACAAAATGACGTCATTATGTCAAGGTGGGTTGAGGAATCCAAAGTCGGTGCTTGTGCTTGGTGGAAGGCAACAACAGAGAAAATGGCAGATGTTGCCAAGAAACTGTAAGTCAGTATACATGCACACATGATCTGTGTAAAAAAAAAACAATTTTAATCTAAGTTAATGTTACCAAATTGGACTAGTGTGCCCTCCTCAAGAGTCCAAAACACCTTTAGGACTTAAAGATTTGGGGTGGTCCTAGGGCTGTCTCTTATACACATCTAGATGTGTATAAGAGACGGTATATATACTGCATTAATTTAAAGTTAGTTAAATTGGTTGTATTTATTTTGGAATTGTTAAATTTTGATATTCAGTTAAACTTGCCTAAGATGGCTTTCCCAAATTCAAACAATTATTAAATCGATCTTATTTTACATGCCAAATTGTTGTGTTTTCCATTAACAAATTTTATCCAAGTCGAACAATTTTTCAATGCTATTTTACATTCAACTTAGGCAATTTCAACTGCATATTGGTTTAGATTAAATCTGAATGGTCTTAAGCAGGTAGAATGTCAAGGTACAGCAAAATGGATCAGGTGACAAGGAAGGCAGAGTGCAAAGCATCCATGCCAATGCCTCTGGTCAAGGTTCTGCAAATTATGATACGCGTCCCAAAATTGGGATGCTCAGAAATTACGGAGCTGCTGACATTTCAGAAATGCATCTAAGCATTGAACCTCTAAGAGTACAACGCAAAAATATAATAGAAACAAATTGGACTCGATATTGCGATTTCTGCTATCTTAAAAGAGGAAATCTTTCCTCACCTTATAAAATTTGCCAAGGCAAATTCGAATAAGTATTGGAATATCTGACTGGTCAGAAGTCAGGACGTAGTTAAACACCCGAAATATTTATGGGACTGTTAAGAAACAATGACTTTTAGTATACACCAGGTGGGCATAAAAATCGGTTCGTGTGGATTTTTTATTTAACACCGAGGACCACAAATTTGATGTTTACAGTGTGCTTCCAAAAACCTTCAGGCACTGCTTTTACACCACTTTATTTTCAGTTTTAATATTACTGTTTACAGATGATAGGTGTCGGACTGTAAAAAGCAAGTTGTTTTCAAGTGGACACACTATACAAAGGTTTTCATTGGAAAGAAGATAATTTGTCTTCCTGGATTATCCCAGATAATATCTACAGTATCCATCAGTATAGATGTTAGTCCAAAGAAGTATGGTAGTAATTGATGATCATATTGGAATCTCATGCATTAATGGTGCATGCAGCCTTTGTGTATTGAGATGCACATGCTTCTTATGATATTACTCAGCACTCGTGCATTAGTATGTGAGAATCTTATTTGTGAGTATGTTTTGTGCTGGAAATATGGATATCTATGTTCATGCAATAAAGTTAAAATTGCCACATCAATTATATAAAAACACACAAATTATTAAAAATTAGTAGATTAACTAGTAAATAATTACAATGTAATAAATAGTATATATGCAAATCAAGAGTAAATAAATTTTATTTCTAAAGAACCAACTGGAAAAATAGAATATTCATGTAATTTGTCTCAGGCACCTTGAGTATTCTTGACAAGTTCATCCTGAAGCAAAGACTCCAATTGAATCATGCAGATGGTGTAGACCAGTTGTAAGTGCTATATAAAGATTTTGGGACATTAATAGCACTGGATCCCTCCACACCATCACAGGCTTAGACTTTCTCAGACGATTAACATGTTCACATTCAAGATTGGGTTTCAGTCCATCATGATTTTCATTGGTACGACTACGATTCTTAAATCCAAGTTGGGATGAGATGCAACGTGTGATTGGTCGTCCTTTTGCCACTTTGGCAGTATCATAATATCCAGATGAAACATGGTTTGTGATTGGTTCTTCACCTATCTTCCTACCATAAACATGATCTTCTAAGCCATGTTCTGATGATACATTGTCTGTGATTGGTTCGCCTGTCATTTTCAGAATTATTTCCGTGTACACACTGTCCAATGGAGCGTTAGCTTGAGTAGCACGGTTGGCTAAGGATCCAAACATGAGATGGTGGGTTGAGGAATCCAAAGTCGGTGCTTGTGCTTGGTGGAAGGCAACAACAGAGAAAATGGCAGATGTTGCCAAGAAACTGTAAGTCAGTATACATGCACACATGATCTGTGTAAAAAAAAAACAATTTTAATCTAAGTTAATGTTACCAAATTGGACTAGTGTGCCCTCCTCAAGAGTCCAAAACACCTTTAGGACTTAAAGATTTGGGGTGGTCCTAGGGTTTAGAAGATTAGCTTTGTGTTAAAAGATTGAAGATTAATAGTTTTTACTTTGAAAAAGTGGTCATGAATTAGACAGTCGTATTGACATTTCTTAAGAGGTTCGTAATATCCAATAAAAATGCAGAGTCAAAATTGTATTCAGGATCACAGATACATCAATGATAGATATGTTGTATATGTACAGTAGTTTTAGGAACAAAACTGCCCACCTTATATTTCACAGTTATTTACACCTTATCATTACCTTGTCATTAACATTTTCATAGCTATAACCTGTGGATGACTTACCTTCATCATGTGATCCAGCATCGTTAGCATAGCCTGTAGATAGTTGGGGTTGTTGAGGAGAATAGAGAGATCGGTGTAGGAAAACCATCCTCGCCTGCTACCCTCCTTCAGAGCAATCCTGGAAATCAGAAGTTAAAAACTGACTAAGTAGTTCTAGTAGAGTCAAAATACGAAGAAAATGCACTTACCCCAAAAAAATTGCAAGAAAAGGTTTTATGATGGTTTTATGTACAATAACATTTGGGGAATAACATATCAAAAGTTGGCAAAAATCGGACCACCGGAAAGGTTCAAAATATGAGGTAAAACAAAGATGGCCGCCAAATGTGTAAAAATGAGTAAAATCTACTCATAAATGTGGAATTCAACAATAATCTACCATCTGTCTCTTATACACATCTAGATGTGTATAAGAGACAGCTCACGTTCCTCGCGTTCCTGCTGCTCACGTTCCTCGCGTTCCTGCCGCTCGCGTTCCTCGCGTTCCTGCTGCTTGCTTTACCGTTCGTTAATTTAATTCATATTGCTTTATTATTTATTGTTCTATGTTCCACTTGATGACTTTATTTTATGAGATTGTGACTCTGTGGAGATATGATTGTTAGTATCCTGGAGGGCTATTCCCTCAAAGTAAAGGAAAATGCACCATTACGGTCTAGTTACCATTCATATCTATCAGCTTTATTTGTTTTTTTCCATTTTGTTCTCTGCTATGAATATTGACATTATTCACTATTTATAATATCCCAAATCATGGCTACCTAAGAGTGCTTAATAGCTGTTATAGGTATTGACTCCATTTTGAACTCTATATTTTATTAAAATACTGCTTGGAATCTTTTTCAATAAATGGCACCGTATATTCTATGACGAAAACATAGCCACTGAAAATATCACTGTAGAATCACTAGTTTATGATTTATAGTTATACAAAAAAAAAATATAAAACGGCCATTTTGGATGTCATTTGAATTTGTTCATTATCGATCAAAACATATTCTGAGTCTTCTAACAAGTTTTTGGCCCATAAACATCAGTTTAGAGACAAAATTCGCGACTCCCAAGAGAAAATTGCCAGATTTATAGTTATTTTTAAGGTATTGGCACCATTTTGGCGGCCGTCTTGGAAAAACCATTTTCCGGTGCTCCGATTTTTGCCAACTTTTAATATGTTTTTCTCTAGACCTCATTCTACAGAAAAACATCAAAAAACGTTTTCTTGCAATTTTTTTGGGGTCACGTGTCAGATTGACCCTACTATTCTAATGACAAATAATGGTAAGTATGTTACACTTATATAGCACTCCACGCCAAAAAGACCTCAAGTCTATTTGATGGAAGAACATTTCTAAGTCAGAAAACAATATATACATGTACATCAGTCTATGGTCACTAATGCAGATAATTTTCCAAATAATCGCACAGGATTACTAAGCTGGCAAGGAACCATTTGAGCAGATGTAGGTACTCCTGAACTAAGTGCAACAAAACTATTCCATAAGACAATATAACAATATAAAATGCAAATTATAACTTCTATACCATCAACCCATTTATTATTTTAACAATGGAACAAGTAATATGTTCATGTCATCCCTTTTTTGTAGAAAGCAATCTACTCTTTTCATTTTGCTTTTAGGTGATTATTGATTTTGGCACCTATAAATATTGAGTCACATATTATTGATACAAGGAAATTTATACATACGTCTGTTCTACTTGATTGAGACATTTTAGGAAGTCTGGAGGCTTGACAAACAGATCCCAATCCTAGAAGTAAATTGTAAGTAATACAATAATTGACAATCTGAGCTAAAATAAAAAGTGATTACTCTATTTTTATTTGCATTGTTCATAACATTAATATAATAAATTTCACATTTCCAGAACCATAAGAAGAAAAGAGTATGTTTGTAGTGGAGATGTATCTTGGTGAATGGTAGTTAAGATGCTTATCTTCCAATCCCTGGGTCCTGGGTTCAAATCATGTGACCGCACATTTGAGTAACTAATCTGTGCTGGACACTTGAAGACTTACAGTAGCCGCTGAGTTATCCCTCCCCATGTAGTGAGTTGTGTATTACAGAAGCTGATAATCCCTACTCCCTCCACAGGTCATATACTTACTATTGCACATAGAAATTCTTTTTCTAGCTTATGTACACTTTCAGTATCAAGGTTTCCTATGGGAGAGAAACAACCAGAATATACAGATAAATAATAAGCAATTAGTAGAGCTCCACATAGTACACTATAGGAAAATTATTATACGAAGGTAGATGCTACGGTCTAGCAGGAGGAAGCCCCGGCGGCCTCTGCCTCGCCGTAGGCCTACATCTAAATTTCTTTCTTGAGTATTCAGAATAGGTCTAGAATATTCCTATATACCGTTCAATTTGTTGTGTTTATGAGGGTCCATTGATTCAATGAATTCCTTAATTGTTCGTACTTAATATTGAATTTGAAGTAAACTTTCTTCGGGTTCTTATTAAGCTTGTTTTACGAAAGTAATTTTCAATTACAATTCAAATTTCATCGCGGTGCGTGATGTCGTCGCAGTTACGAAAAAATGAGGAATTGTTTTGCACACGAACCTAAAAAAAAAATCAAGCCAAGCGTCCACTAATTGAAAAATTATTGGACTGTGGGGGATAGGCTAATATTATTGAGAGTTGCAGTGATGATGTCACGATTGACTTATAATACACTTTAAGTGGAATGTCTAGGGTGTTCACATAGTTTTGCCATTCCTCATGGACTAGATTTATGAAGCAACAGGAAGCAAAACGATTATTTTCAATATACGTTTTCTATTATATATTCAACTTGTGTACTGAATTATATTATGTCATGCAGTCCTTACAAAATTCAAAAATAAAAATAAAAATGAGCTACCAACATCAAATAAAACACAAATGTTATATTTGATTCAGTTTGCACTGATTTACAGACATTTTTAAAAAAGTTGATTTTGAAAATGTAGTATCAGTCTGTTAATTGAAAAAAATAAAAATTCATTCAAATTTTTAAATGAGATCATAAATATACAAAGTAAGTTCTAACAAAAACTGTTCTGTTTACAGACAGTCTTTAATTACATTCAACTTATATTTTCACTTACCAGCCTTAGCCCATTCATCATTAAACATTTCTTCATCTTCTCCTTCGTCATAAGAAAATTTGGTAGCAATCATCTGTAAGAAAAGAACTTAAATATTAATAGAAGAACTGGTCAGTACAAGCTTTAATACGTTGGAAATAAGAGGTAGCATGCCAGATATCAATTCTGCTTATTTCATAATTAAAAATCTGTCTATTTTGTAGTAGTAGTAACATGATTTTAATATTTGTATGATAATTGAATCCTTAGTCAATAATCTATTTAACATATTGAAGCATATACATTTATATTTTATAACATGTGTATATTGCTGTCTGGTCAGAATATAACAAAAAAGCAAGTTAACATTCATTTATACATAAATATTTTGATTCGACTGGACTTTTCAATGGAATGCATGTGTATATATAATATATAAAAAAAACAAAGGTTTTCAGGCTAAATGTCTCATTTTCTATAAAGTTCCTATAAATATAATTTACATGAAATTCATATAGATGTTAAAATACTGTATGGAATAAAATCTGGCCTTAGCTCTCTCAATGCCTATTATTTCAACCAAAAAGATTAAAAGCCTAACCTTCTATAAATTCCACTTTCTATTTAATAACATTTTTTGTACATATGTTCAGGTGGAATATAGAAAAAGTTGATTGATTGACATTCAAACCAATCAAATTCAATTTTGAATTTGTAAGGCGCATATACAACTGTCTCTATGCGCCAAGAATAAGAAAGTGCTCTAACAAAAGAGAACAATACAATAAAATAGGCAGAAAAACATAAAGGCAGTGGGAAGGATAAAGGGAGAATTAAAGATGCAAAGATGAGCTTTAAAACTTACCATTGTAACAAGAAACAGGTCAGCAGAGGCCACATTTTTTAGGTAATTAGGATTCTTGTGTCGGAGTCGTTCTAAGTAAATCAATGCAACCATCAGAGTACATGGGGATATACTTGATTTTCTAAATGGAAAACAATAATAGAACAATGATTTATTTATAGCAAAAAAAAGTTTCTGCTCTTGTTATTGTTAACAATCAGAACAATTGCTGAAACCTGGAATAAAAGAAGTTTCATTTCAACAAAATTACATAATTTAGTGTTCAATATCCATTCATTAATTGTTGATTTTTATTAAATTCTATTTAACAATTTATGTATTATGATCAATTTAAGGAATGTTAAAAGTTCTGGAATTAAAATCTCCTCCAATATATCATTTATCCTTAACATCTTCGGTCAAAATATACCATTTTTCTAGACACTAGAAGCTTATACCCTTGGATCACATTAGGAACCTACTTGGCCTCCACTGGGAATTGTTACACTCCTGCCTGACAGTTTAGCACCCCCTAACACCAACACACATCAGGTACCACAACTGAATGCGAGTGCTGATGATGAATATGCCAAGGGTTTCTAGAGCAAATTGTTGATGATGATGCATGGGGTCAGGGGTTATTGATGAATTACTTCTCACCTTGCTACATTTGAAACATATCTGGTGTCTACTGGTCTTATTCCTGATTGGTTGCTATTCTGGAACAATTGTGATGCTAGGTCTAAAAAAAGAGAGGGAAAATAGTATTTTAAAAGTTTAATTACATAGAGTAATAATAACAAAACTATTAATAAATAATTGCAGGCACACTAACATAGATTTCTTATTATAAAACATTTAAAGTATTATTTATAAACTTTTCAAATGCTGTGTTAAATGTTGACCTTACCTGTGAGGGGATGAGCATGACCACTAGCTGGTGTGTCCTTTCCAAAGTACAATGTTTTTTAAAAGTTTAATTACAGAGTAATAATAACAAAACTATTAATAAATAATTGCAGGCACACTAACATAGATTTCTTATTATAAAACATTTAAAGTATTATTTATAAACTTTTCAAATGTTGTGTTAAATGTTGACCTTACCTGTGAGGGGATGAGCATGACCACTAGCTGGTGTGTCCTTTCCAAAGTACAATGTTTTCCGTAATCTTTCAGTTAATACCAAGTTGAATGGAGAACGCTAGAATTGGAATTATAAGTGAAATATTAATTCAACAAATGAAAGAAATTAATGGTTGGTACTGTGCATTTAAAAAATATGTATACAGCTACATGGGATTCAAGATTCAAGATTATTCAAAATAACTTTATTGCAAATTTAAGGAAAATTTGAAATGTACAGAATAATTCATATCATATGCAATTCTTTCAAATATTTTTTACCTAATTATATTTGATAAAACAATTTCATATATTTATATTTCTACTGAAATTTGAATTGAATAGTGATGTAATTTAATTAATACACATCAAATGGACCATGAATTATTATGAGAACATGTTATGATGGACAAAAAAGTTTTATCTTATCTGATCTCTAGACACTGCCTATTTTTTTTTTTATATCTCCTATTTTTTTTTAATATATCTGATTATCTATTAATTAATTGCATTATTTTCTTCTACAATATATTGTGAAAGTTTAGTGTTTTTTTAATTTAGGTCAGTATTTTTTGCAACATGAACTTGTGCCTTCTTGTGGCAAAACATTGCCTTTTTATCATCATTGTGGAAATGAAATAAGACATGAAAACCTCAAAAACTATAGTTTAAATTTATAATATTAAGAAACATTATACACACACTGTAGTTAGAAGATTTAATAAATGCTGATTGGATGGATTCGGTAAAGTCAGTAGTGGTGTGGTGAGTGGTCTGTATATTTATATTATTCATCAAAACAATAACTTTATAATAGATTGAAATAAGATATGAAAACCTCAAAAACTATAGTTTAAATTCACCATGTTAAGAAACATTAGACATGCTTAGTTAGAAGAATTAATAAATGCTGATTGGATTCGGTAAAGACTTTACAAAAATCAAATCAATCAGTGTCAGTTAGCAAAGATTATAAACCTGCAAGAGGTCCGACTGTCTGGGTTTCATTGGAACATAATTCTATTTCAAAAAGTAATGCCACAAAGGGACGTGTCCTTAACAGATGTTCGGTATATCGAACGTGTCCTGCGTGCATGTTCGAGTTTTAAACTCTATTCAAATTCTAATTGGGTGCCCCCTATCTAGCTCGTGGTAGTACTTTTTTAAACGCTCCATTGCGTGCATACAAAATCAGGGCAGTCAGACCTCTTGCATTTCCATATATGGGCTAACATGCTCTTTCTGTGACAGTTAATGTAAATAGTGGTGTGGTGTGTGTGTGTATTTCTATAGTATTTATCAAAACAATAATTTTCGATCTAAACTTACAAATCTTCGTAATGATGAGGGCTAATTTCTTAACAAAATCATGCCTTGCCCTTAGCAAACCTACTTCCAGGCCTAGCCTAGGCCTAGTTTTCACAACAGTGTGTACAGTCATGGTCTGTATCCGTCGCACTCAGGCCTAGTCAACAGGCCGATTACGTACATGTGCCTTGATGAGTGCGGCTGGCTTACGCCCACCACCTAGGCCTAGGCCTAGAAAACCATCTTTCGATATTTCACTGCTTTAATTAACCTAGTTTCGTCTACACAAAATCAATTACTAAATACAAATGTTCGATTCATACTTCAAATTGTTCTATGTCCTCTAAACACTCTTCAGAGACTCTCATAAAGTCTTCAAAATCAGCCATCCTTAAGAAGATAAGACTAAGCCCAAAATTCTTCTGTGATGAAGAGTACAGCAGCGTAGTGACAATTTTAGTGAATGATGTCGCAACAATGGATGTTCGATTGGCGCGGCGCACGAATTTTTTTATCGTAGGTAAGTTAAGCAAAAATTAATGAATTATTCATTTAGAGTGGCTGAAGGCATTCCTAGCGCATGCGCCTTCTCGTTTCGCTGGACTTCGCTCGCTGTAGCTTTTTCACGTCGCGGTGAGCGCGACTGTTGGATTATCGGTGGCATTCACTGTGTGTGGGGAAAGTGGTGGAGCCAGAGGGGGCTGGGGGTTTTAGCCCCCCCCCCGTCGGGGAAGACGATAGGTTTTGTCGGGGAACAAAGAAATAAAAAAAATATTTAGATGTAATATTCCTTTAGCCACCATATTGTTTGTGTTAACATTTCATCACAACAACAATAATAATGAATATTATTAATAATAATAATAATAATTCAATGAGACTAATTAAAAATAATTTGCGTTCTGTTATGACAAATGCTCATTTAGATGGCCTCATGATGGTTGGAATACATCGTGATAGGTGAAGCAACCTCGACCATGAAAGCGTGGTTGACAGATTTCATGCAAAATTCCCAAAATATAGAATTTCACTTAATTAGATGGTCACATTGCATACTCTTTGTTTCTTGTTTCATTCAAAATGTTTTGGTTTGGTATAGTCACTCACGCATTTCAAATCTCTCTGGTTGGTAACTATGAATAAACAATAAACAAACTACCGGGTTGCTGGTTAATTTGCAAGGTACTACATGGCTCAACTATATTTTACTTAGGAGTTAATTTGTAAAAATCGCACACAAATCACACGACGTCACTGACAACTCCGAGGACGGCAACTCGATTTTGAGATTAACTTTCCGAATAAATACTAAATAACTTCTAATGATAAACTATTGTCTTTGTTGGTCATTCATCTGTCATTTTATCTATTTTTTCAGTGATATTACCATTCTCATTAATATAAAACACCCACATAACAACGTCACGTTAGGTCGTTCGGTGGGGACGCCGTCGTGACGCTGGTAGGGTACATTTTCTTCGGAAGGTATCAAGATGACAAGACAGTTTCATTGGACTAAATTCTTGATTATGTTAACCACATGCTTACCTAAGATTATACTGACACTGGTTTCAAATGAAATATCTGACAACTTTGGTTTGTATCAATGTTTTAATAAGTACATAAAACTATGTCATAAATATGTATGCAAAAATGCTGTTTTTGTATTTTTCTTAAAATCCGTATGCGTTATCACCATCATCATACAGAGTATAATAGATTCAAGTAAGATGTTTCAAATTATATAAAAATTGTATGCAAACGTACCTTTGGAACAGGTTTTTTTTTCGATTTTTATTTACCTTAACGTCGACTCTGTCTAGAAAGCAGCAGGATTAATCACGCCAGGATTAATTACCATGCTGTTTTTGTATTTTTCTTGAAATCTGTATACCTAATCACCATCGTCATACACAGTATAATAGATTCAAGTAAAATGTTTGAAATGAAAATTCATCGTAGCCATTAATTATTATCAATACGGTCCCGGCGTCATTCCTTGAAACGGGACGGTACGTATACTACGGTACTTTACCGCTTGAGTTCACGATGTACACGTGACATGGGTCATATCATGTAAAGATAATTTTTTGTCCCGAATTATAATTTGTATTTTTAATGTATTACTAGAGACAGGTCACTGCATTCAACAATTATGTGGCTATTCGTTGTACTGTTATTTACTATCAATTATTTGCCCCGGCTTCACTAATTTTTTAATTGATTTAATATGCTGAATCATTATTAATGGTATATACCTATTATAGATTTCGAAAAATTAATCAACAAATGTCTCATTAATTACACTATCGTAAATAGGCCTATTGAAGTATAAAGCATTATTAATTCCTAATTATTAAAGCATTATTCGAGCACCTTTATTATTATTATTATTATTATTATTAATGATAATAATAATAATATTATTATTATTATTATTATTATTATTATTATTATTATTATTATTATTATTATTATTATTTTATATATATTATTTATCAACCATATTAACTTTGAAAACATGAATTAGCCTGTGTGGATAAAATTATCACCCAAAATAAACATATAATTTTTAAGATTATTTTTGAAACAGAATCAAATACAGTACGGTATAACATTTTTATTTAAAAGCAGGTTTTGCATGGACGTAATTTTATTTTATATGCTGATTAATATTATTATCTCATTAATCAAACTATCGTAAAACTATTATTGTTTAATAATGGCTATATAAAATTCAGTTGACTAACTATATATATATATTTTTTTTGAAATTAGGAAAAACAGTAATCCTATGTATGTAGATAATATTAAACACTAGTATATACATACGGGTCATAATACCATAATATACAAAAGGAATAAATCGTTTATAGTAGAAATTGTGCACTTTTGAGTTTGTAAAAATATTGGCCTAATAAGTATACACGCTTCCAACTTTAACAACGTTAAGTACATTGTTTTCACAATAAATTTAGCTTCTGATAACCGCTGCACCCTGAAATCGAGTGAAAAAGTGTTTCTGAGATGGTTATGAAAAGTATAAACAATTGCGTTTTTACTCAGTTTTGGTCCGGAAAATACGTACCGCACTTGGAAAAGTGAACAGGAAAAATTCATGAGTCATGCGTAATTGTTATTCTTTCCATACACTTTTAAAAGAGGGGTTTTAATTATAGAAGATTGGTGAAAAGTGTGGGAGGGGGGGAAACAATCGATATGATGTCCCCCTACTTTGAAAAGTGAGGGTGACGTGTCTCCCTGTCCCCCACCGATCGACGCCCATGCCTTAATGCCAATACCTAGCATACCCTGAAATTTACCCTACGGTCCGCCCCTGCTTACTACCGTATACAGTATACAGAACAAAGACATGGCGAGTCTGTAACTCGATGCTCCCATCGACATAAGTCTAGCCTTCCTGGCACCCAGTCTTCACATTTTCTCATACTGTGTAATTGTCACTATTTTATGTTACGAAATATATACTGTATTCGTTATTAAGTTTGAATTGATAGGCCCTCTGATGTATTTTTATTCCAGTGCAACTCCAAGGGACCAAGCATAACCTATGAGGCTTTTAGATAATTTTTTTTTTAGTTGCAAATACAATTGCACACAGAATTTGTTGTAGGGTCAGCATTTTAGTTGATTTTATGTTAGTCGAGAGTGCTGACCTATTGTACAGAGTACAGTATTTTTAAACTTTTTTTTCGTCATTGATTAAATAACATCATGCCAAAGACTTGTAGAAGTCCTTGATCATGCAATGCAGTGTAAGCCTTTTCCTTTCTGCGGTGTGTCTGTTATAAAACCAGCTCTTTATTGAGGCACGATAAAGGAAGAGACAAGCAGTTATCACAAGCTTGTTTTTATTTTTGTTTTAAATACAGTCTAGTAGGTTCAGCGAAGCGAGATTAAGCATGCGCTAGTAAAGCCTTCAGACGCTCTAATGAATAATTTGCTCAACTTACCTACGATTAAAAAAAAGTTCGCGCACCGCGCGCCCAGTTAGTTGCCAGCGAACGGAAATAACTCAACATCGCCACCAAGCAACGGGCGTGGTAAATACTATGAAACGCCAACCTACAAAAAGAAAAATAAATTAATTATTTTTAAATGTTCACTGTGTTAATGGTTAGAGGGTTCATGTGAATATTACTGTCTTGGAAAAAGTAAAGAATTAATTGGTGATCTGTAAGTATATACTCAAGTTCTCATTACACATAGTACATAGGAACTTTTTTTAAGTACTTATCTTAATGATAAACAAACCTCTGTAGAGAAAACAATGCAATGTCATTTAATGTTTTCATTCTGATACGCGGTCATCCATGTATTTTATTCATTCAAAAAACATACTATTTTCTGTGACCACCGTTCCCCTATTAAATCTGATTAATTTGTAAAATTTCATTCATTATTGGCAATTAAAACTGTCCATTGTAACATCATGTTCATGATTCGTATTTACAGAGCCGTGTTGTCGTACTTTTCGTTGATAATCCTTGAGTTATCAGTCAAGTATTCAACAGGTACCTCAGCGTTGTAGTCGCGGCAAGTGAAATCGTAGATCAAAAAGCTCATGCCGATGACGCCGAAGAAAATCGATATACCGCCCGCTGCGATGGCTGTCAGGGAGCTGTACTTGTACAAGTCCGTTCCAGCTGAAAAACAAAAATTAATAAATGTTGTTATAAAACAATATTAATTTCTATAAACGATAGGTAAATGTCCCAAAGCATGAGGTCCGTGTGATTCGGTAGAGACGGATGGGATGAATTCGGAATCATTATCGATCAAAGAGCACATGAATATCCTATCTTTCTTGAAATCGGCTTACTTGTTCATCTCAACTGAAAACATTGAACATTTACGATGTCTAACATTAACTGTGCAATAAGCCCATACCGTTCAAGTCTTTCGAGATAACCTCTATTTTATCATTTATTCCAAAAATGAACCCACGTGGGCTGACCCCCCCCCCCCCCCCCCCCTCCCCATTTTGAATTTGTTTTAAGTGCAGTAGGGCATATTTCATTTAGAATTAAATATATTTTTCTATTTTAAAATTTTTCATCCAATCATTTTCAATTGCAAATTATATATTTTCTTTAAATTTTGCCAATAATCACTTTCTACAGTGTACTGCGCAATATTTTATGCACTTGTTTCCTCCCCAGGTCCGTCCGATTTTTTCCTCTTTCTTTTCATCTTTTGTCTTCTTGTTTTTTTTAATCTGTTTGGTTTTGTCAACTCCCTTGTCATTTATTTTGATATTGTTATCCTAGGGAGTTTCTATATGTTTTCCTTTCATCAATTATGTTTATTGAATAAAAGTGATTTTGAATAACATTCAGTGGCGGATCCAAGAATTCTGATAAAGGGGTCGAGTCGAGCGAAGGATTTTCGCAAACAGGATCCACCGACCCCAGTCACTATGGTTAGGGCCAAGGTATTTTATGATCACGGCACCTCTAGATGGCCAGGAATGACAATAAAAAAATTTTGTCATTATTTTTACTTTTACCTTACTTTAAGTGGGGGCGCCAGGGCCACTCTTGAATCCGTCACTGTTACTGTGAACTTACAACAAAAGTTCAATTAATAAAACCTCTGAAAGGATATCTCATTCTATAAGTAAGAAGTAATCGTCTCGATGTTGGCAGCGTGGATGGATTCTAAGCCAACCAGACATTTAAATAATTGTGAACAAATGATGTAGGCCTACCGGTACTATATGTCTATACCATCAATGCACATTCTTCATCATAATCATCGTCATCATCATCAATGTATTATTCATTTTAGCATTAAACAATGGATAATATTCAAGATTTTTTGCTTGTTTTTAAATCACTCTTTGTTTAAACAACCATTATATTTGCTACATTTTCTTACGCCACACTCTCCAACACGTACACCTTGTTCTTCCGATAAATTTCTTCTTCAAGCTCTTTTTCTGTTCAGACACCTTATCTTTGGAATCCATTACCTCTTTGTTCGACATCTTCAAATTTAAACTCATTTAAAACTAATTTGAAAACTTTTTTGTTTACAAAATCGCTTTAATTGGGTTAATTGTTCACTGCGCCTTTGATAATGTTTTGCTTTGATAATAATAATAATAATAATAATAATAATAATAATAATAATAATAATAATAATAATAATAATAATAATAATAATAATACACACCGCTTTTAACTTTTGTTAGTAACTGGGCGAATCACTCAATGGAAATTGGCTATACTTACCAGGGACAGCAGCAACTATTGATATTAAAACTGACATCAGAATGAGGACACAGGTATTCTTAAATGAAACCATCTAAAAATTTAAAAAATAATAAATTCCTATTTAGTTTCCATTTAATAGTATTCAGATCTGTGTATAATGAACAACTAAAGTTAAAAATAAATTTGAATAACAATATTTAGGCCTATACAACAATATAATATACAAACAACTGTGATGATGATTTTTTTTTAGCCTGGTTCGATAAATTCTATTAGTGGAGTTTTCTTTAGTTAGACACTGTGTATGAAATTCAAAATAAATCAAAATCATATCTTCTAATCTGATATTTTACTCCGTGATCCGTAAGCAACGAAGACATGACATGTACACATAAAAAGGTTCTAAATATTTCGGCCTAACAACACACAAAACAAATTCCCCAAATGAGAAAAGTAATTCATTAGAATACCCAGCCTAAATGAATCAAAACTACCAATGTAATCACTTAAATGAATCGGAATATTGCTTTACACAAACCGAACAACAAATATAATGTTGGTAGGCTACATATAGATAAAAAAAAATTATAGAATTTATTTTAACAAAGACCTAGAATGAACAATTGTGTTTTTAATCCCATTGAAACTTGCGTACGTTCATTCACTGAGTGTGCGTTTTAGGGCCGTACGCTCTAACAGGGAGTTGGTTATCTAGGGAGGCGGAGTCCGTCCGGTCGACCGTTCTATACACGATCGTCGCCATAGTTTAAAAAAAGTATATCAAAAATACTATAGTACATTTGCATTTTGAAAATATCAAGCTATACTTTTGTATAAACATTTTCAAAATGAAACTAGCATGATTCACGTATTTCAGGGCCGTTATGAGTGATGTGACAAATGTAGTATTGCGGCTCAACCTACTACATTCAAATGCGGATTCAATTAATTTCTGAAGGCCTAAATCATAATGGGAGAATCACAGTATAATATTAGTAATGTAGGCCATGCTATTCACTATTGAGAAAAAATGTAGTTCTTATAGAACAGTTAAATTCTTACCTTACGTTGTACCTTATTCGAGTATATAAAAAATTAAAATTGTGACAGGAACGGAGGTCTCTGTCTGTCAACCAAGCCAACGGATTCTCAAAATGGTTGCCGTTTGTCAAATGACTAGCGAAACACAATAGATTGAAAATCAGGCATGGATAAGCCTATTGTTAATTTAATACAATGAGTATGAGAAGTAGCAAACGCAGTTTGCATATAAATGTAAGGACAATTGCCTTTTGTTGCAAACTTAACGAATGGAAAGATGACTAAGACGAGAGCGATTCTTATTTATACAATACCACTTTTTTAGTACATGCCTTCGCTGACACCAGCATTTGATCAGGTGAACAATGCCGTAATATTATTATTGTTTATTACTAAATTCCACTGAATGCATGGAATAACAAATACTCAATTTGGGTCAAAAGGGTAACTAGAGGTGCTTAAGTGAACCTCTTTCAGAGACAACACCCATAATTTTATCATTCGTTGGATTGGACGTTAAGCCGTATCCCGACGCACCGCTTTCTCTCTAGTGAACGAGCACTTGATCCAATTAAAATATTATTATAGAATTTAACGAAACAATAAACATAATGCTAACGGCACACGCTTCAGTAAATCTCTTTTAAGGCGAATTGGCTGCGCCTTATTTCGCTTCGCAAAACGTAAAACTTATTGAACACGAAAATTCGGCAAAGCGAACCTTCCACCAAACGAACATCAGAAAAGAAAAGGTGAACAATCTGATGGAGGACTTGCGCATAGAAATTAAACTGTGAATGCGTACGGTCAATTAAAATACGGCAAAGGTATTTGAAGTCAGTTAATTGACGGGGAATTTTGTCACATTCAATTTTTAATTGTAAGTTTAACCAAAACATACAAGTTAAGCAATTCAAATATGAACTGTCAAATGTTTCATTTTTTTAGATCATGATAGACAGTGCATCTTTAATAATTATGAGAGACTTGTTCATTGATGGAACATAAAATCCATAACTTTTACAATAAACGTCAGGAGGGGCTGAGGTAAGAATATA